CCTAGATCTTTCAAGTAAGTATGGATTTACATAATTGTTCTTTTGTAACTGATTTATTTCACTCAACATGTTTTTCAAGGTTCATCCATGTTATGACATGTACCAGGACTTCATTTTTCTGTATGAGGGAGTTTCAAAAGCTAGTGGAAAAGTGCAATAAAAGATGATGGAATTTTTCCATTCATTTGTTGATGGACATTTAGGCTGTTTCTACCTTTTAGTTATTGTGAAAAGTGCTGCAGTGAACACTGGCATGTTGTTATCCGTTTACATTCCTGCGTTCAGTTTTCAGGATATTTACCTAGAAGTGGAATTGCTAGATTATATGCTAATTCTATGTTGAACCAGCAAACTTTTCCATGACTCTATCACCTTACAAACTCACTACCAATGTACAAGGGTCCCTGTTGCTCCACATACTCACCAACATTTGTTTTTCATTTTTTCATCATAGCCATCATAGTTAGTGTGAACCTTGCTATCTTCTTCATGTGTTTAGGGTTGATGGTAGTAGTTCCTCTTTCATTTTCGAAATTGGCAATTTGTTCCTTCTTTCATTTAATTTTTCTTCAGTGATTTCTTCTTTGATCTGTAGGTCATTTAGAATTATGTTGTTTAATTTTCAAATATTTGATGGATTTTCCAGTTTCCTTGTTACTGATTTCTAGTTAAATTAATTTGTGATCGGAGAACCTATTTTACTTGATTTCAGTCCTTTTAAATTTATTAAGACTTGTTTTAAGAATTTATAAAGTAGTATGTTATTGTTAGGTAATATCCTTATGCCTACAAGGAGTCCTAGTGTGGTGCTGTGGGCTAATTGCATCATACTGCAAAGTCATTTGAACAGCAAGGTCAGTGGTTCAAGCTCACCAACTGCTTCTTGGAAACCCTATACAGAGTCACTATGGGTCAGAATCGACTCGATGGCACTTAACAACAACAACAAGGAAGCCCAGTGATGATGAAATTGAAGAATTCTACCAACTTCTTCAATCTGAAATTGGACAAGTATGCAATCAAGATTCATTGATCATTACTGGTGATTGGAATGTGAAGGTTGGAATTAAAGAGGAAGGATCATCAATACTTGGAAAATACAGCTTTGGTGACAGAAATGTTGCTGGAAATCACATAACAGAATTTTTAAGACCAGTGGCTCATTAATTGTGAATACCTTTTTTAAACAACATAAAAGGTGACTGTACTCATGGACTTCACCAGATGGAATACATGGAAAACAAACTGACTGTATCTGTGGGAAGACAGTGTAAAAAGCTCATCATCATCAGCCAAAACAAGAAAAGACCAAAATGAATGTCAGAAGGGACTCTGAAACTTGCTATCAAGTCAGCCCCTTTATTCATGATGATCCTGTGCACAACAGAAAGAAACACTCTTCATTCCTGCACCACGATCCATTGTGGGATCACAACATTAGGTTTTCATTTGCTTAATTTTTGAAGATCACCAAGCCTTTCTTCTTAGTTTGTATTAGTCTGGAAGCTCTACTGAAACCTGTTTAGTGTATCATAGCAATGTGTAGGCCTTCACTGGAAATCAAACCCAGGTCCTACATGGAAGATAAATTCTGCAGCAGAACTACTAGTGCCTTTATAAGCTTGTATAACAATTTGCTTTTACTGCTACATCCAAGTGCCATGATGTTTGCTTGATCCTTAATGTTTTTAATTAAAATCATGGTCTCTGAGCATTTTTATTTGCTTTAACTGATCCTTCAACGTAAATCCTGGAATCCAGGATTCACCCACCCAGTGAAGCTTGCTGGTTTTCAATACATCTGTTTCTCTGTCCAGATAACCATGGAGAGTCTTGGAGAAAGGCCAGAGTCTCTCAAAGAACTTTAGAAGTCTCACCATTCTGGATCAATTTGAATAGAGTATCCAAGCCTTTTACTTACTTATACTTATCTGTATGTAAATGTACATATGTTGTTGTTACGTGCCATCGAGTTGGTTCAAACTCATAGTGACTCTGTGTAAGGTTTCTGAGGAGCATCTGGCGGGTTTGAACCACCAATCTTACAGTTAGCAGTCCAGTGCTTATCCTACACCAGGACTCCGTGTGTGTGTCTGTGTGTGTGCGTGTATAATTTAGGGCCTGAGAATTTTTAATTTGGGCATTCATTTTAATGACAGTTTAAAGTTCTGACAATCGTTTTCTGACCAGCTGAAAGGGAAACTACTAGGTGTTTGTGTTTTTACACTAAATAGTATGGGTTTAACTGTGCCAAAAAGTAGACGAGTAGTTACTATGTAAATGATGGGGTTTATACAAGTGAAGATGAGATGATGTCATGGAACACTGTAAACCCTACAAAATGAAGTGTTGTGGTGGATCAAATACAAAGGAGTATATAGTAGCTTAGTAGAATTTAGTTTGGGAGCAGTAATCTGATTCTAGCAAAACAGCATCATGTCTCATTGAATTAATACATTAATTTAAATTTTATTTGACGTTTATAGTTCTATGTCTAATTTATACACACATAAATAGCAAATACTTCATCTACCCAGTGGTCTGGCAAGAGTCCTCTCTCCCTTTAAGGGGTCTGTACATTTTTAAATGTCTTTTGGAGGCAGCACTCACATCCCACATTCCAGTCAATTTTTACTATAGAATAATTTATACTTTTTAAAAATGACTTAAAAAATGTTTTTGAACATAAGGTAACATCATCATCCTTGTTCTAGTTACTGCCATTAACTACAGATTATGAATGAACATCTGATTTATGAACAACTCCTACATGCTCTTTAACGTTATGTAAATTTGCCCTCACTTTCAAACGATTGAGCCAACTCTCCTACTCACAACATATTCTTCATCACAGATACCTTCCCTTGTGTACCTGCTGCTTTTAAATCACTGAAAACGCTTGGTGCCTTTTTTCGCACTAAACCAGAAACCCGCTGCTGTTGAGTGAATTCCGACTCAGCAGCAATATAGTGCAACGTAATCTGCTCCCTACGATTTCTGAGGCTGTAAGTCTTTCTGGGAGTAGACAACTCCATTTTTCTCCTGTGGAGGTTTGAACTGCCAACAGCCCAATGCTTAACCCATTATGCCACCACACACTTAACAGATCTGGTTCATAACCCAGGGATTGCCTTTGTTAGTAGTAGTAGTTCTTTCTGCTCATTTTAGTTGTTGTTGTTGTTATTATAATAAATGGCCTAAGATCATAAAGTCATTTTTAGTATTAAAAAATTTAGATCATCAGATTAGATAAAAGATACATGCTGTATAATAACACACAAAATGTAAGGGTATGGAAAAGAAATAAAAGGAGGGAAAGGATATAGCAAATTCTGCATTAACAAGAAAGATACAGGTTATCTACCAAAAACCTCTAATAAACTCCAGTTCGAAGTGGTGAAACATTAGTGACATTTTCTTTAGAAAAAAAATCACAAAAACAAATGCTTAATATTGCTACCTGTCTTCGCCTTTGTATTTGAGGCTTTAAATTTTAACCTTAATTTACTTTTATTTTAGATCCTCAAAATTAGATGAGGATGGAATTATATCTGCTTTATTCACTGCTATTTCTATAGTACCTGCAGAAGTCTTGAGACATGTTGTTGTTAAGTGCTGTCAATCACATCTACACATGTTGTTGTTAAGTGCCATCGAGTCAATTCTGACCCATAGCAACCCTGTATAGGGTTTCCAAGGAGCAGCTGATGAGCTTGAACCTCCGACCTTGCAGTTCAAATGACTTTGCAGTCTCGTGCATTAGCCCACAGCGCCATACCAGTCATCATAGTTAGCCTTTAATAAATGCCTGGGAATGATTGCATTTTAGTTTAGTACCCTTTGATTGAATTGTTTCACTTAAGAGTATTGATGATTTTTTTCTTGTCTCTTTTTATCCAAGAAGATTTCCTGGGGGATTTTTTTCTTCCTACCCCTACAAGATCATTTGCCCTAAATCATATTTGAAGTAGTTAGTTAAGTTGGAAAGGAGCAGTACTTAGAAGTTAAAACTGTGATTGCTTTGAAGCTAGAATTGTATTTTAGACTAAAGAACATGGAAACCAAGAGTGAGATTGCCCTGTCTGACTCATATTGTCGCTATAATACAGCCTACATGGAGGTGATTTGAAAAGGGCATGCTAACATGGTGTTGCAGAATGAGTTGAAATATAAAGTTGTCTTAAGTAAGTTAAAGGAGAGCTTCATGAGAAGACAGATGATCCTGCCACCAAATGTTCACATACTCTACTCATTATAATCTAATGGATTTCATTTTCTAACCACACTATTCACTAGAACTAGGTGACCTCAAGTTTTGTAAAACTACCATCTTTTGATATCAAAATTCATTTGACAAGTTTAACGGTATTGACTATTGTTTAGGAACATGTCTTTCTTGTCATATAATGGGTGGGGACTGGGGAAATTCCTTGTGTTGAGGCAATTAGGTGAAAGGGAAATTTTGTGTGTTCAGTATGATTGGGCTTTTTTTGTTTGTTTTCAAATTGTTCCATATCTAGTGAATTAGGTACTTAACTTCCTAACACTTATAAATCAACCAATAAATAAACGAAAGTAAAAAGAAAATAAGTACTAAAGAATATGTTTTGAGAAAGGGGGGAGGCGTTTATCGAGTATGTGTAAGGTGAATTTTGTAAGCAGGTAAGTCAAATGAGGCATATAATAGTAACTTGAGGAATTATGGTACTGATACAACCAGTAGACCTATTTCAATACCTGCACACTGTCCAAAGGCTGCATGTTTTGAAAAGGACTTATATTGGTAAGATTTCTGGTGAATGGGAGCTTTTTTCCTTCCAGCTGCCTAAAAACTGTGGGCAATACCATGACTATTGAGACTTTCTCTAATAATGTTCTCAGAAAATAATTATGGTAGACAAATAACATTGGAAAACATTCAATTACTTCAAATCCAGGTGTCAGGAGTTTTGTGAGACATACTATTATCAACATATTATTTTCACTTCATATCTTTCAGGTATTTGGATTTGAACCATATTTTGAAATTCATCTTCACGTACAATGCCACCAGCAGTTGGAGGTCCAATTGGATACACCCCCCCAGATGGAGGCTGGGGGTGGGCAGTGGTGGTTGGAGCTTTCATTTCCATCGGCTTCTCATATGCATTTCCCAAATCTATTACTGTATTCTTCAAAGAAATTGAAGATATATTCCATGCCTCTACCAGCCAAGTATCTTGGATATCCTCCATCATGTTGGCTGTCATGTATGCTGGAGGTAAGTACCCATTAAGATCCGCTCTTTAACTGCCATTAAGCAGCTCGGGACTCTACATTGAGTAACTTGTCTTTTGATGTCTTATTCAGTGAGGTATTTTTGAAATGTTATTTCTGGAAGTTTTGTGTCACATTCAGAGTTAACATTTTTCATTCCCTTGGCAACTCTTCCCAATGACAGCTCTTTTTCTGTGCGTTACACTATTGTATTTTGAAACAGAAATAAGAAATTGTGAGGAGCCTTGATTTGATCCAACTGAAGTATTGAACTTTAAAAAAAAAACAACAACTTAAATATGCACAATTGTTTTTTCTTATTGTTGGTCTCTACTTAACTTTTGAGATGATAACCTAAGTACAGGTGTTTTTTAAATGATGCTAAAAGAATTCATTTAAGTCAGGCTAACCTGAACAACATAGTTCAAAGTTTCAGGTTAAATAATTTCATGGTGTTAGAACTAAAGAACTAAATAAAATCTCTCCTTTGTTCATTGTGATTTTTTGGAGTCCAAAAGTCTTTCAGTTACATCCTAAACTGTGAAGTTTTGTCATTTTTTTTCCCCTCTGTTTTCTTTGGCATATTGTAAAGGAAATGTAGAGAGTAAGTTGTTTACTTAACATCGTTTAAAATTCTGTTTCACCTTGAAATATCAAATCGCAGTTTAACTGGTAAAAGTCAAGCCTACCATGATACTTAAGAATATACAAGTATAGTTGCTCAGTTAGCAGAGATTCTAAACCCAAGCGTTTGTATTTACTGGGATTGACAGTATATCCTGTTGCTTATTTAGTAAAGTTTGCACTTCTTTAATCTTGGTTTTAGTGAGAATTTAGTGCATCAGTTATTCTCACATGTCTGTCATAGAAGTCCACATTCCAATTCTAAATAATTTGGCCTTAGGCTGGTACACCGTGACAATGTCGTCCAGTATCTGTTGAACCCTATGATCATGTTCACCACTGGATTAAATGTTGTGAGTGATAAAGAGCACTGATCCTAATCCCAGCCTTTGAGAAGTTTATAACATAAACTCAAGAAACAGGAGTGTGTAATTGAAATCATAATTTAATAAAGCACGTGATTTAATTGCACAGAAGAAACAGGTAACCTGTTTGCCTTGGAGAGAGACAAACTGGTGAGAAATGGAAAGAATTTTTATCCCACTGTATGTATTTTTGCGTTTCTTAAAGTTTAAACATAGATGTGTTTTGTTTGTTAGATTAATAATTCTTAAAACAAGTACTTAACGCAGTCCTGGCGTGATTCTGTAGGTAAATGTGCTGGACTACAAGTCAATTTGAACCTCAAGGTTGACAGTTCAAGCTCACCAGCTGCTCCTCAGAAACCCTATTCAGGGTCACTATGAGTTGGAATCAACTCAACAGCACTTTATAACAGCAAGTACTTAATTTATAGTACTTTAAAAAAAATTTTTTTCGAAGAAATCAAAAGGGATTTTGGACTACAGCTTTTGAGAGCCAGGAATTTGGGAGTCTTTGAACTCTAATCTGCCAAGATTGGCAATGTTCTAACCACTCTGACTTGAATAAATTGTTATAAATATTATCCAGAGGAGAGGTACCTGCTCCATAGTTTCAGTGCTTCTTTAATGTGACTACAAACCAGAGGTTCACATATTGACATTCTGAGCTGCCATGGAGCTAGAGAACTACTTGCATTTTTGCATACGAAGTAAGTGATGTCAGTGACGCTAATCACACATGACACTCTCCTTTGGGGAAACAGTCCCTCCTTTGTCCTCACCCATTAGTAAGATAAGTAGCACATTTCTTTGAATTAGTTACAATGGGCCTATAAATTAGATCTATTTTTAATGATAGCTAATTGAGGTCATCCTTCCTGAAATAACTCTGAAAGACAAATTGCCTTGTGGAGATTTTTTTTTTCACTAAATGGGTTCTTTTGTTTTGATTGGCATCTACATGGTGTGGTCCCTAAGAATTATCATCTTTTTTACAGCTATAATAATTCTTTACTTGTGCATTTGAGCCATACCCAGAACACTAGTGTGTTTTGAATTATGATTGCTTTAGTTTTCTTTCTTTAAGTGTTTTTGAGTCAGAAATAAATGTGAATACTTATTATATACATGTGAAAGTTGGACAGTAAATAAGGAAGAGTATAGAAGAATTGATGCTTTTGAGTTAGGGTGTTGGAGGACAATATTGAAAGTGACATAGGCTGCCCATAGAGCCAACAGATCTATGTTCGAAGAAGTGTAGCCAGAGTGTTCCTTGGAGGCCAAGATGGCCAAACTTCGTCTCTCATACTTCGGACATATTGTCAGGAGGGAGCAGTCGTTGGAGAAGGATATCATGTTTGGTAGGATGGAGAGTCAGAGAAAATGAAGAAGACCCCAGCGAGATGGATTGGCCAAGTGGCAGCATCAATGGGCTCAAGTGTAGCAACAATAGTGAGGTTGGCCCAGGATTGGGCAGTGTTTCGTTCTGCTGTGCACAAGATCGCTGTGAGTCGGCACCAACTTGATGGCACCTAACAACAACAAATTAGAGTCTGGTGGTGGTGATGGTAGTATTGTCAGCTTGAATTTGCCTGTTTTTTTTTAGGCACAAAAGCATAAATATTGTCAGTTCCACAGGAATGTAATATAATACTCCTGGTTTACAATTTCAAATGCTGCAACAAACTTTATAGCATTAACTTCCACTTTGCAGAGTCTACAGCAATATTTTAATCTGTGTAGTAATTCTAGTACTATCAAATCTAAGGTTTCATCGTTCATACTTTGGGCATGTTATCAGGAGGGACCAGTCCCTGGAGAAGGACATCATGCTAGGTAAAGTGGAGGGTCAGTGAAAAAGAGGGAGCTCCCCCAATGAGATGGATTGGCACAGAGGCAAAAACAGTGGGCTCCAGCATGACAATGATAGTGAGGATGGCACAGGACCAGGCAGTGTTTTGTTCTGTTGCACATAGGATTACTATGAATCGGAACTGACCGGAAAGCTTGTGTTCATACAACCGAATTTAGTATTATAGGCATGTTGTTGTTTTTGTTAAGTGCCGTTGAGTCGATTCCAACCCATAGCGACGCTGTATAGGGTTTCCAAGGAGCAGCTGGTGAGCTTGAACCACCAATCTTACAGTTCAAACAACTTTTGCAGTCTGATGCATTAGCCCACAGCGCCACCCCAGGACTCCTGAAAGACATACTCAGTTCAGTACCAGAGATGTGGAGATGTATGTATATAATTAGGATTAGTTTGCTTTGTTTTGTCTTGTTTGTTAATGAGAGAGATTCTGATTGTTAAAAAACTTGGAAGAAATATATGGTTTTTTTCTTTAATACAACAGAAACTCTGTATATGATAATGTGTAAATAGTACTCTAAACCCAGAGACTTATTCAGATGTGTTCATATATCACATTATATCAATTGTCTTTATTCTAGATGCCTGTCTAAAAATTAAAGTAAATTTAACTAAGTATTTGTTGATTATATTCTAGATACAGAAAGAAGCCTATGGACATTCATTACCACAGCGTTTGCAGCCTGTCTGTTCTGATTTTTAAGAGAAAGACTGAGGATAGATACGAGTGTTTGTTTTATACATTGAAACCTGTGGGAACTGATACAGGACTGCCCTGTTTTTCTGGGCCTCCAAAGCTTTCTGACTTTGACAGCATGCAGTCTTACCACTTGTGTTTCACTCTCTTTTAGTGGAAAATTCTTGAGTTTTCCTTCTTTGACTGGTTTTTGCTTCACACAGGTTTCCGCTTTTGCAGACTTTCCTATGTTTTAATAAAATTCTGTCCAATATCTCTAGCTATAGAAGATACACAATGATGTTTTCAAGCATCCTTATTTTCTAGGGCACATAACTAAGACTCAAGAATAGTTTTAGAAAACTTTATTCTTATCTCTTGCCCTTTGTTATAGGCATGTATTTCAGAGACTGTGATTTAGCATTATTAAATGCCTGGTGTAGATATGAAGATGAGGTTCCTTTCCTACATACTACTACAGTTTTGCTCTTCTCCTAGGTCCTGTCAGCAGCATCCTGGTGAATAAATATGGCAGCCGTCCAGTCATGATTGCTGGTGGCTGCTTGTCAGGCTGTGGCTTGATTGCAGCTTCTTTCTGCAACACTGTACAGGAACTTTACTTGTGTATTGGAGTTATTGGAGGTGAGTTATTCCTGATCCATTTACAAGCATTAACTTACTGTTGTTACTTGGTGTACTGGTGTGGATAAAGCATTGTACTGCAGGGTTGCTCTTTAGAACCAGCCGCTGCTTGGAAAACCCCATGCAGGATCCCTGTGAGTCGGAACTGACTCTACAGCACTTAACAACAGCTTGCTATTGAAACGAGCCCTGGTTGCAGAGTGGGTTACACGTTGAACTGCTAGCCTCAAAGTGAACAATTTGAGTCCAGCAACCACTTCAAGGGAGAAAGATTCAACTTTCTGCTCCCATGAAGATCTACAGCCTTGAAAACTCTGTACAGAGCTGCCATGAGTTGGACTCAGCTTGATGGTATATAACCACCACCACATGGTATTTGTTTACCTGCATTCATCTGACAGATCTTTTGAGTGAAGTTACTTATAGAAATTACTGAGTCATCATATTGAATAACTATAGATAAATTACAGAACTGGTGTGGTGCCATAGGATAAGTGCTGGACTGCTGACCTTGTGGTTAGCAGTTCAAACACACCAGCTGCTCCTTGGAAACCCTGTATAGTGTTGAGTTAGAATCACCTGGATGGTACTCAACAACAACATAGATAAATATCAGCATAAGAAAAGCAGACTTTAAAAGAAATTTACATCATATAGGTAGGTATTCATTGTTCAGATTGAAAAGGATGGTTGTTGTAAGGATAGACAGTTGTTGCTGCTAAGTTCTGTCAAGTCAGTTTTGACTCATAGTGACCCAATATGGGGTTTCCAAAGAGTGACTATGAATGAGTTTGAGCCGCTAACCCCATGGTTCAAATTGACCTTGAGGTCCAGTGCTTTATTCCCCAGTGCCACACCAGAACTCGAGGATAGACAGTTGTGGTAGATGAAATGTAATGGGGATTTGTTGCAAGGGTGGTCACTGGTTATAAGCTCTTCCTCCCAAGAGGAAGTAGGCATCAATTGGAGAAGAAGACAGTATTAAACATAAAGCAAGAATGATATCTCTTAGAATGCCCAGATATATTTTTGAGGTAGAAGATACCTGATTTTTCAAATTGCCTTAATGAACTGATGATGTGTATAATGAATAAAAGTTATAAGTTTAGAGTCTATAAAATAATCACTGTTGACTTTTGTTGTTGACTTTTTTTGTATATTCTTTTTTTTTAAATAAACATTTATTAAGACAAGACTCAGAAATTTGTTTATAAGAGTTTAATAATGTACATGTAGAAAATAGTAGCATCTCAAATTTATTGGCCATAAGCAACAGCTGAGTCAAAGTTATAGTTAATCAAACCAGTAGAGTGCTAGTGATACTTCTAGGTGTTTATGGTAATGCAGTATTTCCTAGTGTTACTTTATATTCAGGTCCTTTATTCAACATAATCTGAAAGTGGTCCAATGTTTTGATATAACCTTACAAACTCCTCTAGCAAAACATATACTTTTTAATGTATATCCTTTTTTTTAGCGCACAAACACACATCCTTTTTTTTAGAACAGAAATCAAATTGTTATGTGTTTTACAACTTTTTTTTTTTTTTTTTACTTAATACAAGGGTAATTCAAAAGATATTGCTACAGAATCATGTGTTGTTATTGTTAAGTGTCATCAAGTCAGTTCCAACTCATCACAACTCAGTGTAGGGTTTCCGTGGAGTGACAGGTGGGTTTGAACCACAGACCTATGGTTCAAACCGACTTTGCATCTGATGCTTATCCTACAGCACTACACTGGAAGTTCTAAAGACATTATGGATTTTAAACAAAAATATCAAAATGTGAAGCTATTATTTCTGACATATTCTACATCTAGGTGTATATACTTCTGAAGCCTTTGTTTCTATCTCTCCAACCTTTCTCTGAAGAGTTCTGTGTTCTTTGATCTTCCCCACATCAAAACTGTTGTCTTGGCATCTTTTGTTGTTGTTAAGTACCATGGAGTCAGTTCCAACTCATAGTGACCCTGTATAGGGTTTCCAAGGCTTTAAATCTTCATGGAAACAGAAAGTCTCTTTCTCCTGGGGAGAGGCTGGTAGACTTGAACTTAGGACCTTGTGGTTCACTTATCATATGGAATCACTGCACTCCTTGGCAGCCTTGTTCTTGTTATTGTCAAGTGCCATCAAGTCGGTTCCTACAAGTAGCAACCCTGTATAGGGTTTCCAAGGAGCTTTTGGTGAGTTTAAAACACTGATCTTGTGATTCAAACTGACCTTGCAGTCCAGTTCCTTTTAAATGTTTACATTTTGGAAACTAAAGAAGTCTGAAGGAGCAAGATCATGCTTATGAGATAGATGAGCTAAGATTTCCCAGTAAACTTGCTGTAGGACCGCCCTTGTTACTTTCCAAGAATGAGCAGGGGTGTTGTCATGATGGAAAACAATTCTTGACATTTTTCTCACCAGTGCAGTTTTCAGTTTTCCATAAAACTGATTGTCCTGTGTACTCCAAGAAAATCTGCCAAGATATGATCCCTTAAAATTAAAAAAAAAAAAAACCTTCTGAGCTGACCTCTCTGCCTGGAATTTAACTACCCTGGCAAAGTTCTCGAAACTATTATTTTGATTGGGCTTAATTTAGCTATCTGTATTGTACTGAAAAATCCAAGACTCATCCCTGGTTACTATTCATCCTTAGCTTTAATTTTGCTGAAAAGACATGTGGAAAGATCACCTCTTTGAACTTTACTGATCTTTGCACAACGTATCTTTTTTTTTATTATTCTTTTTTAAGGCATTTTATGAATACTAAAACAGATGTATTTCTGAGAGAACTTATCTACACCCATCCACTGATCACAGAGATCTATTTAAACATGTTTTGTTTGGAATAAGCCCATGCATGTATGAAACATGAGTAGCAATATTTTATGATTTACCCTCATATATCTTTTAAGATCATGTCATTAAATATGATGTATGAGGGGACTTCAAAAAGTCTGCAGAAAAATAGAATGAAAAGATAATAGAGTTTTTCCACAAACTTTTTGAAGCCCCTCATATAACACCTTTAATATCTATTATTCCACTGAAATGGATATAACATAATTTTACTTAGTCTTTATTTAATTGTTGGACATTTAGGTCATTGAGGTTTTCTTGTTTGTTTACTTTTTTCCTGCTAATAAACAATATTTAGTTGAGAGTCCTTTTTATTAGGATACATGTGTAGAAAAAGGAACGGCTGTATATGTATATGTGTTTAGTCTTTTTCTACTTTTTCCTGCTAATTAAGTATGCTAAAATTTTCAGGATTTCAAAACTCTCCATCTTGGATGTTTTATTACTCTTAGAAAATTGTTCACTGTGCCAAGATTATGAATTTATTTGCCAACCTTTTGTTTCACTTTGTGTTTTACATTAAAAATTCTGAATGGATAAGAAAACATCTGACGTAAAGCAAGAAGAATACAACTTTATTTGTTCCTTCTTTTATCGATTGACCAAATATTTATTCAGCAATACTGTATGTATACTAGGAACTATTCTAGGTGCTGTGAAAATAGAGCAACAGGTTCAGGCAGCAGTTCCCTTTAATGGAAAGAAGCACACAATATAAGACTCACCAATAATTGAATAAGTAAGAAAATACCAGGAACTGATTCATGCTATACAAAGCCTTAGAGCAAAGTGGACACTCCGGTAGTCACCAAAAGTGAAGAGATGGCTTTAAGTAGACATCTGAATGGCAGCAGCTAATCAGCTTTGTGAAACGTAGGCCCTGAGTCTTGGGATTATTGTGTACAGGTGAGAAAGTTATAATATGAGGCCATCATGAGAGGTAAGGCCCCGGTAGATTGTGGATAGGAAGCCATTATTGTTGTTAAGTGCCATGGAATTGGCTCCAATGCATAGTGACCCTGTATAGAGTTTTCAAGACTGTAAATCTTTACAGAAACAGAAATCCTCATCTTACTCCTACAGCCAAGTTGGTGGGTTTGAACCACTGACCTTCTGATTTGCAGTCCAGGACTTAACCCTGCAGAACCACCGTGCTCTCAGGAAGCTATTGTTTTTAAGTGCCCTTGAATCAGTTATGACTCATAGCAACTCTGAGGGTTTTTGAAGAGCTGCTGGTGGGTTTGAAATGCCGACCTTGTGGTTAGCAGTCCAATGCTTATCATACAATCCCACACCAGGACTCAGGAAGCCATTACAGTTTGAAATGGGAAATGCCATGCTTTGGTTTATTGTCTTAAGTATCTGTGAGTGAGTGGCTTACACACAGGTAGGAAGCAAGACTGTTGAGGGTAAAGAGATGAGTGCATTTAGAAATTACTTGACTATTTTACTCTCATGCTAACACTGTTGATTAATTTGTTCTTTCTCTATTAAGTTAAAATGTCACTTTTATCTTACATTAAATGTTATATATATATAAACATTCCTGGACTTTTGTCTGCTTTCATTGATCAGTATTTATCCCTCAGTCAGGACAATACTGTTCTAAAGATCATGGTGCTGGTGGTGGTGGTTTTGTGCCATCAAGTCAGTTTGGGCTCATCTTTCTTCTGCAGAGCAGCTTATGGATTGGAACTGCTGCCCTTGTTGCTAGCAGCCCAACACGTAACCTCGTAGCCACCAGATCATAGCTTTTTATAATATATTGAAATATTTGTTGATTTGGTCCCACTCTGCCCTCTGCACCATCAAAAATTTCCTGGTGGTCCCCATTTTTAGCATAATAGATACAATGTTGTTCTGCCCTAACATGAACTACAGTGCAGTTCTTGTCTCCAACCACCAGAGCTAGGTCCTATCTCACAGGCTAAAGTCTTCCCAACTGCCAAATATGTCCAAGACTTCAGACATCAACCCTAAGTGCTGGTTTCCTGGGACACCTCCACTTCCGACCTGTTGGCTACAACCTCTCCAGACACCAGCCTCGAACTCCTACATCTCCAAGACCACCTGCACTTCTGACCTACTGGCTACAAGTGTGCTGGTTTCCTCTGCCTCCTTAGGTTCAATAATTTGCCAGAATGTTTCACACAACTTAGTAACACACTATACTTAAAATTACAGTTTTATTATATTGTTTCCTGCCTTTGAGAAGATAACAAAATCAGGATCCACATAAAGAAGGAATGCATAGGGTGAGGTCTGGGAGGATCTCCCAACAAGAAACTTCCATGTTCCCAAGGATACAGTGATACCTCAAGTCTGTCACCAATGAGGAGTCTTGCCCATGCTTAATTGTCAGAGCTTTTTTTGGAGTTTTATTAAGTAGGCACGATTGATAGAATCATTGCCCATATGGTCTCCAGCCCCACTTTCCTCATCCCTCTCCCTTCCTCAGGCTTCAGGCTTATATACAATGTGGCATGTCCATCTTTCTACATGGCCGGCCAGCCTCAACAGGAGTCATCTCATTAACATAACCTGTCAGGTGTAGTCCAAAGTCTTCCATGAGTAACAAAGATATTCCAGTTACCAGAAAATTCTAGGGGGTGAGAGGTTAACCTCCAAGCAACAAATTCTTTGGGTAAAATAATTCTTCACCCACAACATGTATTTGTTCCTTAATTGTGTTTAAGAGTTGTTCATCCTCTTCCCAAAATAAAGTCCTGAAATTTTTTATTGGAATCACGATAATATAGTCATTTGAGGAGTACTGACAGCTTGACAGTGTCGTATTTTATTATCCATAGAATCAGTGTGTGTGTTTTGATTTTAATTCTCAGGCCCTCAGGAAAGCTTCACAATCTTAGACATATAAGTTGCATGTTGTACTTAGTGATTTTCTGCTGGTCATCATAAGGAACCTGGGTAGCATAGTAAGCATAGTAACCATCAGATTAGCAGTATGACTCTACCAACAGCTCCATAGAAAAAAAGCTGAAGCTTTCTGCTCCTATCAGGATTTACAGCCTTGGAAACAGGGTTGCTATGAGTTGGAACTGACTAAACAGCACATAACTACCACCACCACTGGACATTATAATCCTCCAGGTGATTTTGCTAGGTTTGGCAGTCATTTACCTTCAAGTAATATAAACAATAACTATTAGTAATATTTATTGTGCTTACTGCGTCACAGACACTAAGTGCTTTACATGGGTTAAGTCTTTTATTCCTCACAATAATGCTGTGTGCTTGTTTTACTTACTAAGAAACAGTCACTGAAGGGTCAACACACCTGAAATTACAAAGCCAGTCAGTGGTGGCTTTCTTGAACCCATGTAGTCTTTCTTCTACTTAAAGCTTATACTTTAGACTGCAATACAGTAGATCTGTCTAATGATTATGACTTGTCTTCTTGCCTTTATTTATACCTCTAATTGTAGTTTCTTTGTCTGACTAAGTAATTCCAAATACGTGTCTTACATTTATTATGGTATATGATTTCCCCTTCCCTCTTCCCCAGGCCTCGGGCTTGCCTTCAACTTGAATCCAGCTCTGACCATGATTGGCAAATATTTCTACAAGAAACGACCATTGGCAAATGGACTGGCCATGGCAGGCAGCCCTGTGTTCCTGTCTACCCTGGCCCCACTCAATCAGGCGTTCTTTGGTATCTTTGGCTGGAGAGGAAGCTTCCTAATTCTTGGGGGCTTACTACTAAACTGCTGTGTAGCTGGATCTCTGATGCGACCAATAGGCCCCAAGCCAACTAACGAAAGGAAAGCTAGGTCTAAGGAATCCCTTCAGGAAGCTGGAAAATCTGATGAGAAAAAAAGTACAGGTGATGCAAATACAGACCTTATTGGAGGAAATCCCAAAGAGGAAAAACGATCATTCTACCAAACCATTAACAAATTCCTGGACTTATCCCTTTTTACCCACCGAGGCTTTTTGCTGTATCTCTCTGGTAATGTATTTATGTTTTTTGGACTCTTTACACCTTTAGTCTTTCTTAGTAGTTATGGCAAGAGTAAGCACTACTCTAGTGAGAAGTCTGCCTTCCTTCTTTCCATTCTGGCCTTTGTTGACATGTTTGCCAGACCTTCCATGGGACTTGTAGCCAACACAAAGTGGATCAGACCTCGTGTTCAGTATTTCTTTGCAGCTTCCGTTATTGCAAATGGAGTGTGCCATTTGCTAGCACCTTTATCCAGCAGCTATGTTGGGTTCTGCATCTATGCGGGAATCTTTGGATTTGCATTTGGGTGGCTCAGCTCAGTATTGTTTGAAACATTGATGGACCTCGTTGGACCTCAGAGGTTCTCCAGCGCTGTGGGATTGGTGACGATTGTGGAATGCTGTCCTGTTCTCCTGGGACCACCACTTTTAGGTATGTCATACCTCCACCCCCAACTCCGTGGTTCTGTTAATATTATAACAATGTGCATGACTGAGAAGGTGATAGAAAGCAGAGATTATTAGTAAGCTGATGATGGCAAAGAGCAAGTCTCTAGTTTCTGTACCCTTGGTGCTGACCCAATGCTTGGTACAGCATAACTACTCAAATACTTTCACATTTAAAACTTACTAAGAAGCCTTACTGAAGGCTCAACACATCTGAGATAAATTAATATGCTGATTATTGAATAATGTATTGGAAAAATACAACTCTGCCTAGAAAGCACTAGTGAGGACTCCTTTTTCATGATGGAGTTGATCTCAGTTGTAATGGTTAAAATGGTAATAATAAAGGTGACTTTGTGAAGCTCATAATGCACTAAAGATTGTCCTGTTGTAAGTACCCTCAAGTTGATTTTTGACTCACAGTGACTTCATGTGACAGATACAACTGCACCGTAGGATTTTCTAGGCTGGTGGCCCAATGATTAAGTGCTCAGTGGCCAACCGAAAGGTCAGTGATTCAAACCCACCAGTAACTCTGCAGGAGAAAAAAGCCTGGCAGTCTGTTCTCACAAACGTTATAGGCTGGGAAACCCTACGTGGCAGTTCCACTCTGTCAGTTGGGTCAGTGTGAGTTGAAATCCATTTGAAAGTACACAGCAGCGGTCTTTATGGGAGCATATTGACAGATCTTTCTCCAGGTTCAAACCAGTTAGGTGGGTTCCAACCCCAACAATTGTTCTAAAAATTTATATCCTGTCATATCTCACAAGTTGATGAGGTTGGACTGTTAAAATCCTCATTTTATAATAACACAGAGGTTTCTAAAAGTGAAATAATTTGCCCAAGATCACAAGCTGGTAAGTGTGTATATAACAGTTGGAGTCTATTCCCCAAGATTAAGGAGCTCTGATGACACTGTGGGTTAAGCATTGGACTGCTAGTTGCAAGGTCAGTAGCTCAAACCCACCAGCTGCTCCTTGCGGAAAAGATGAGGTTGGCTGTTGCCATAAAGAATGACAATCTCAGAAATCTATATAGGGTTGCTATGAGTCGAAATCAACTGGCAGTAGGTGTGGTTTGGTTTTTGGTATATAAGTTACTAAGGAGCCCTGGTGCAGCATTGTGGGTTAATGCGCTGGACTGCAAAGTCGACTTGAACCTCAACTTTGGCGGTTCAAGCTCAACAGCTGCTACTCAGAAACCTATGCAGGGTCACTATGGGTTAGAACCAGCTGTACGGCACTTAACAAGAATATTGCTAAGAACTTCACATTGTAAATCAGTAGCTCAATAGAAAACACACAGTGAGGGAGGGGGTGGATAATATCCTTGTGGACATGACTCATACTTTTGAAATTGTTATCTGAGGGATGAAGTGAGGATACACAAAGGAAAGAAGGACCCACACGGTCTTTTGGTAAATATCCTCTTTCTCCCTTCCCATGTCCTGTCAGTTTTTACCTCCAGAATCTCTCTCTACTATGCCAGCTTCTCTCTATTACAACTGCCACCCTTAGCCTAAGCTGCCATCTCTTCCCTGGCAGTTCCAGTACCTCCTAAATAGACTACCCATATTAGTACAAATGGCCATCAGGCTGCTGTCTACTCTGCCAGTAAAATTACCTTTGCATTTACAAATCTGATATCCTACTGACAAGAACTCTCTACTTCTCTCTCATTGCTTTTAGAGTAAAGAATGTGGCCGGCAAGGCCCTGCATGACCTAGTCCCACCTGCTTCTCCAGCTTCATTTCAAGTCTCAGTTTCGCTGACACTTGGAGGGAAGCCTTCCTGACCCCACTAGCTCTCCTCCCTCCTGTTTTTTTTGCTATTAGAACCCTACTTGTAGTGCTTGTCACTGTTAGTATGGTTATTGGATTAGCCATTGAACTGTAGATAATGCCTTTACTAGCACAGTGATAAACCTGTGGCCGTGCAGTAAATTTCTGACTCTCAGGGACCCTATAGGAGAGAACAGAACTGCCCTAGGGGGTTTCTCAAACACATCTTCCTCCCACAGAATAGCTGATGGGTTTGAACCTCTAACGTTCAGTTAACAGCCAAGCATTTAACCTCTGCACTGCCAGGACTCCTTAGCATTTGATAAAGGCTCAGTGAATATTGCTGAATAATGTCCTGAGTTAGAAAACCCTATGGAATCATTTCAAACTGGTTATATAAAGCCCTTTACAGAATAGGGTTTTTTGAATTTTATTCTAGTTTGAGATATTAGTTTGATGAGATCTTAATAAAGTTTACACTAACAAGGATTTCATGGCCAAAAAAAAAAAAAAAAAGACGTTTGGAAACAAACACCAAGTTAAATAAATTTCTTTACTACTATTGTTTACTTTTTTGTGCTGTCAAATCAATTTTGACTCTTAGCACAACCCTTATAGGGTTTCCAAGAGGCAGCGGGTGGGTTTGAACCACCATACCAGGTTGTTGTTGTTAAGTGCCATCCGTTCGAACGGCTTTGCCGTCTGGTGCATTAACCCACAGTGACACAACAGGACTCCTTCTTTATTAGAAGACTTCACAAATACCTTTGACATGTTAACGTGCACTGTGTATCTTTAAGAGAAAAGAATATGATATACCACTTACCAAGTGTATTTGGGTTTTGAAACAGTAAGGGCACAGGCTCCTAAGTCAGTATTTCCAAGGTTTAAAGCCAACCTATTTTAGTTACTAGCTCTGTGACTGAAGGCAAGTTACTTCACATTTCTGTGCTCCTGTTTTTGCATTTGTACATCGGGGATGATGATGACATCTGTGTGGATTAAGCACTTAGAACTGTGGAAAGGTATTGATGTGGATTAATTTTTATCACAGGACAAGTGTTCATAGGCACACATTTTACCATCCACTGATACTAAGAAAGAGATTTGCCCTGAGAATTGAAATAACTCTGGCCTTAAGCAAAATTCCTAAACCTCTTTTGAGCAACAACTTATTTTTTTCCCATTGTGTAATGAGAATTTATTCTAGGTGACTGTAGGTCTTTCCCAATTTAAAATTGCCAAGATTTCAAACTTAGTTACAAGTTTCCAAAAATAACAAGATATATACAAGGCCATCCAAAAATCAGTGTGACATTATAAACAAAGGATCAAATGATTTTCAGCAGTTCCTTTTTAGACTAATTTGACATTGGCCAGCTTCTTGAAGATGGGATTGACATCTGTTAGAGTGAATCCGTAAACTTTATTTGGGAAAGGGGATACTTTTTCACTTTACTCATATAACTTTTTTTGGTACCTCTTTAGGTCGTCTCAGTGACTTATATGGAGACTACAAATACACATATTGGGCATGTGGCGTAATCCTAATTTTTGCTGGGATCTATCTCTTCATTGGCATGGGCATCAATTATCGACTAGTGGCAAAAGAACAGAAAGCAGAGCAGAAAAAGGAGAATAAAGATGAGGAGACCAATATAGATGTTGCTGAGAAGCCAAAAGAAGCTACCAAAGCAGCAGAATCTCTGGAGCAGAAAGGCCCAGAAGGAAGCCCCAAAGAAGAGGAGAGTCCAGTCTGAACCTGTGAGGCCAAAGGGTAAATGGAGCAGCTTGTGACCCAAGAGATCTGAAAATATTTTACTGGCCTGTATTCTACCAGTGGTGCTCAATGCAGACAGTGAACATTGATGAAATTTTTGTTTCACTCCTTGGAAGCCTGAGTTTTAAATGCCATATCCTTGTGGTTGTCAAAGGATGAGGGGAGGAAGTAGTTATTTCTTTTTTTTTTTTTTTTTTTTAATTTGTTATTGTTGTTGTTTTTTCAATCTAGCTTTAACAGCGTCATGAAGATTTATAATATGTGCCTTAAGTTTTAAGTCCTTAGAACTCTTTAGGGAGCCTTAACTTTTTAACCATTCTGCTGAATTTCTCTATTTAAAGTGTCATGTTTAGAAGAAAAAATACTGGGTAGGTAACTTGTTTGAGACAAATCTAAAATTTTAAATGAACCTTGCTGCATTGTTATTTGTAATTTGGCATTATCACTGGAAGATGTATGGAAGGTATTCTGATTGAGAGTTGGGGATTTTCTGAAATGCTGACTAAAATATTTTCCAAGCATCAATAGTTGCCTGGCATATCTGCCTGCTAGGTATAAATTTAGAGAACTTACATCATAAAACTTTGGAACTATTCTGGCTGCTCTGACCACATTCTGCTAGTTGACACTTCTCTGGTACCTTTTCTTGGGATGCTTATTAGCCAAGTGCTGGAGAGTTGTTTTCATTAAATTACTACTTTTGCTCCCTTGTTCAAAGGCACATTCTGAGTGCTTATATAGCTCATTCCCCCTTTTGAAATTACTTGGTATTATTTTTCTCACCGTAAAAGTTAGAATTAAAATCTAAAAAACTGTGTATTTATGTCTCCTTAGTAAATACAACACATCTAATTAAATGTAGACAAATCTGTGAAACAGCAGCCGAATTCAACTTAGGTTTTTCTAAAACCTCAAGTTAAACTGTGAGATGATTGGAACTTTTTTCCCTGGAATTTTTTCCCTTTGATTCATAGTGGTTCCATTTATATCTGCTTCTAGCTTCAAGCTGTATGAGACATTCAGTCTGTGTGTGTGGTTGTGTGTGTGTGTTTCCCAGTGTTTTCAAATTAAGAGGGCCAGAGAAATTTGTCCCCAGGCAAGCCAATAAGGTGAAGATTGAGAGGGAAGTTCCTAAGAGTGTTTAGTTTCATTAAATAACTCCCTTTTTTCTGAGAAGGCCTTAAAGAAAATTATGTTGTGCATAGATTTAGTGGACACATTCTCTCCACACAGGCCTGAAGATTTGGTGAGCCTTTTCACCTACCTGAAAAGTCGAGAAACGGATTCGATACGATAGGGGGGAGGGCGGACCAGAAGAAAACTGTAAATATTTTTTAACCTAATACCTTATAAATTGAGGCAGGAAGATATTGATGAACAATCAATGAATTATATTGTAAGAACTTAAATTATCATTGTAATTAACAGAGTGAAAGTGTAGATACAAAACCTGTATAAGAATAGACTGACTTTTCCAAATAAACATCTTTTTTTAAAAAATATTTCTTCCTCAAAATGTTTATTTTCTTGAGGAAAATATGCTTTGTCTTCATTTTCATTATCAGGTTTCAATTTGGCCCTTGCTAATATTAAATTGGAGTCCTGGAGTGGCACTGTAGAATAAGCACTGAACTGTAACCATAGATCAGTGGTTCAAACCCACCAGCCAATCCTCGGAAACCCTACACAGGTCACTGTGAGTCAGAACTCAGTGGCACTTTACAACAATAATATTAAATTGGAGTCCTGGCATGGCATTATAGGATCAACACTGGACTGCCAGCGGTAAGGTTAGCGGACCAAACCCACCAGTGTATCTTGGAAATCCTATATACAGGGTTGCTGTGAGTTGGAACTGACTCGATGGCACTTAACAACAATATAAAAACATCCAGTTACCTGCTTTGGGATTTCTATGTATGATTTTTTTTTTCTTCTTTCTTTCTCTTCTTTGCTTAAAAGCAAGCAGGAGGGAAAATGTGAAACCACCTCTCTTTAATATCCGGAGCAGTTCAACTTAGAAATTCAATGAAAAACTCTCTTTCTATGCTTAAGTGTCATGGCAGATGGAGGAGAAATTTTTGGGGAGAAGCCTGCTGGGAGAGTTGGCAGACGTGGCTCCAGTTTCGGCTCTGCCATTTTCCACATCCCCAAGTCTGTAACCTTTATGTGCCTCTTTTCCTGTCTATAAAAAGGCTTACTGTCAATGAGGTAATGCAAGTAAAGGGATTTTTTTTTTTTTTTTTAAGTGAAGCGCACTGCAGGACTAAAGGATAATTATCCCCCATCA